CTTTTGAATATGTTTGGTGTATGTCTTATGTTCCGCCCACAATCGGCCTGCAGGGGGGCAGGCCCGACTTAAACCTACCCCGACACGTCGATTAGCGAATTGGCCGGTTTCGGTTCGCGAGAGGCCGTCGTTGCCGTCATTTTTGCGGGTCCAGGCCCATCGGTTTCGGTCCTAGGCCGTTTTCCCTAAAGGGTGGTTTACTAGAGGGAGATTTGTCCACCGCTGACCAACGGGGTGGTGGGGATTTGGGGTCACCGCACGGTTTTGGGACTCAGGTCGTTCTTCGAGGATGTCTCGGGCGATTGGGGCCTCCGAGGTTCCAAAACCGTGTGGTGACCGACCTTGCGTCGAGGGCTGCGTGGATTTTGATGTCACCGCCCGGTCTGTCACCACACGGCGTTGGGACCCCCAAGCCAAAGACCCTCCTGAGCCCGAAGTGGTCCTTATGTGAGGATCTTGGTTGTAGGGGCACAGAGCCGACCCAAAAATCATCAGTGACCTCGAGACTTGAATAGCCTGCCGACGCGCAGAAAAACATGTATGAACAAGCATGTTCTGTGCTCGTGAACATGATCTCGAGGGCATGCAAGCAACATGGTCTTGCTGTGAGACTGCGAGCAAGAACGGTGTGGGCTGGTTCCGGCCCGCGCGAGGAGATGAACCAGACCGGCATATTGGATTCGTTCCTCAGGTGCCTGCCAATCTCGCCATGAAGGAAAGGGATTTTGAGGAAAACGGTTCCTAGAGGATAGGCTCTTCATCCTGAGTCGTCGTTTGACGACGGTCCTGGGGCACGCTGAGGGCCGCAGGGGGTGGGAAACGGCGAAAAGTTCCAGGACCCGTTTCCCCCAGAACCCTTTCAGATCATGCTGCCAATCGGTTCGGTAATTTTACTGCGTCGCCTCATTATTTCGACGAAGAAACGAAGCCATAAATATAAATGTTCGCTCCGCGCGGATTTCTTGGATCTGCGCTGGACCCCCTCCCTGGCGCGCTCCGCGCGCCAGGGACGGCGCCGGACGCGCCGCTGGGGGGCCCAGCGCGGATCTAAGAAATCCGCGCGGAGCGCCACATGTTTTTGTTTATGACGTTGTCTCCCTTTCTATTATTTCAATCGGTTGCTTCTTTTTCGCGTCCCATATCGTGGTCCATGCTCGTTTGCGCATCGTTCGTCATCGCCGACATGTCCCTGCTTCGACCCTTCCAGAGCAACCGCACACGTGTGTGCACTGTACACTTCGCCATGGGATCAAGCCGGCCAATCCCCGATGTCACAGCACATCGCCGTGGATCATTACGCGACAGGCCAAAGGGAAACACAGGCAGGAACGCGCACGAAGCACGCGCAGTTTGAGCGCGCGGACTGTGTTGCAGCCGATGCACTTGCCAACAGAGAACTCATTAAGTCTGGCGGCGTGAGAGCGCTCAGCCTGCCAGGCGCACAGTTTGGCCAGCACGTGAGTGCGCAGCTTGCGAGCTCGATCTCAGCTCAGGTAACACCGCTTGCAGCTCAGGGTGTGTTCACAGTGTAGTTGATGTGTACGCAGCAGCGCCCTCATGGCATTACATTGTTTATTCGCTTGAGTAAACTGATCCCTTCTCGAAGATACGTCAATCAGCGCGTGAAAGGAACAGGCATGTCAGTCATGCGGATGATCACGGACTGCAGTGCACGTGCTGTTGACGTACGTGCGCATGCGAATTGATGTAACAAGCACAGGTATTTGGATTATCCTGCCTTCATCAAGCTGATGTACACTGTTGCTGCACAGCAGCCGCAGGTGTTCTGCGCTTCGGTTGCACGTACAATTGTAAGCATTTTGCATGTACTGACGGCTCCTGCGTAAATTTGATGTCATTCGCATGCCAGTGCGATTCGAGCGCATTCCACGTGAGGACAACAGGTCGCAGTACCGTTTTTCGTTCGAGCTCCGAAATCGGCTAGGGGTCAGGCCGCGCCAAGTCAGCAGGTCGCATTGTGGTGTAAAGGTAAGTCCGAGTATTGTATTAGTCTTACACTCATTAAAGTATTCCTCTCCCGCCCCTTTCTCCTGATCATCCTCCCCTCGTGTGAGAAATCACTACAACTTCTAAAACAATCCTTCGAGAGGAGGAGGAGGAGGAGGAGGAGGAGGAGGACGGGAAAGAGGAGGAGAGGCAGAAGAAGGTGGGGTTGGAGGTGGAGAGGGGGAGGGAGGAGCGGGAGGAGGAGAAACGAGGAGGGAATGGAGAAGAAGAAGAAGAAGACCAAGAAGCAGAGGGGGAGGGGAAGGAGGGAGGGGGAGGAGGGAGGGGGGACAGCCGACCGACCACGACGACCGACCGACCGACCGACCGACGACGACGACCGACGGCCTCCGCAACCGCACCGCAGCAGTCCGACCAGCACCCGGCGGCGGCGGGCATCGCGAGGCCGCAGACGCCGCTCGGTGGCGGCTCCGTGCAGAGGAGGCCGCGCGGCTCGGGAGGAGCGGCGGCGACGGCGATCGGCGCCGCCGAGGCCGGAGGAGGAGGAGGAGGAGGAGGAGGAGGAGGAGGAGGAGGGGGAGGAGGGGGAGGAGGGGGGGAGGGGAGAGGGCTTCTTGGAAGCACCCGTGCTTGGAAGCACGCGAGGAGGAGAAGGTGGTGGTGGTGGTGGAGGAGGAGGAGGAGGAGGTGGTGGAGGAGGAGGAGGAGGAGGAGGAATAGGAGGAGGAGGAGGAGGAGGAGGAGCCTTCAGGTATCCAGCATCTGCGAAGCGTCCTGGCTTGTTCGCCAGAGAGTGTTCTAAGGACCTTGTGTGGCTTGGCACGGCTGGGTGTCAGAACGTGTCTGGTTGAGGCAGTCTTGTTTTGATCCATCGGCGTTGTGTTCCGAGACGGCGACGACGATGAGCGCCAGCGAGGCCTGGCACCCAGTAGTTAGCGGGCACGTACAGCGGAGACGCCGAAGTAAGGAAAACATCGGGTTCGGAAGGGGCTCGCAGTTTCTTGGGTGGGCGGTCCTGATCCGCTTCGGTTTCTTGGGTTTCTTGGGTTTCTTGGGTGGCTCGCAGTTTCTTGGGTTTCTTGGGTTTCGCGTTTGCGGAGGCTTGTGATGTCAGAAGGGGCCTCGGTCCTGATCCGGCCACGCGCACAGTGGGCGGGGCAGGGGGAGGTGCTGCTCAGACCTGACGTGGCGTTCTTTATGGCAGCGCGGAGCTCTAGCAGCGCGCAGGGGAGGGGCAGGAGGATGCCGCTCTCTGGCGCCAGCTGGTGCAGGACAGTGGCAAGAACACCACTGCCCTGCATAGACCAGAAGGTCAGGAGGGAAGGAGTTTTCCTGGCGAACGATCCAACCATGTGCAGTTGGGAGTACCGCGTCGTGGGCGCCACTTTCGGTGGATTTCCCTGTGGGGCCACGAACCGCGTGAGGGATATGCCACAGTGGGCGGGGGGACGCACGCGGGCCTTGCCATTGGGCCTGGGCAGGGGGACGCATGCGGACCCTGCCATTGGGGCTTTCGGTCGAGCTCCCTATGCGGCCACGAACCGTGTGAGGGGTGTGCCAAAACGGGCGGGGGGACGCATGCGGACCTGCCACTGGAGCCTGCGGTGGAGCTCCCTATGCGGCCACGAACCGTGTGAGGGGTGTACCGAGTGTTGCACATGCGGAGAGCAGAGGCACGATGATGATGCTGATGCTGATGCTGATGCTGGTGATGATGATGATGATGATGATGATGATGATGATGATGATGATGATGATGATGTTGATGTTGATGAAGATGAAGATGAAGATGAGTATGATGTTGATTATGAGCATGATGGATGTGATTATGATCGTGGTCATGATGATGCTGTTGATCATGATGATGCGGATGATGCTGACGCTGATGCTGATGATGGTGGTGGTGATGATGACAATGATGGTGATGGTAAGAATGATTATGGTTGTGATGACAATGATGATGATGATGGTGGTGATGATGGCAATGACGATTATGATGATGATGACGATAATGATGATGACGATGACGATGACGATGACGATGACGATGACGATGATGGTGACGATGCTGATGAGGTTGACGACGACGACGACGATGATGATGATGATGATGATGATAATGATAATGATGATGATGATGATGATGATGATGATGATGATGATGATGATGATGATGATGATGATGATGATGATGATGATGATGATGACGACGACGACGACGACGACGACGGCAATGGCGATGATGATGACGATAGTGATGACGAGGAGGATGAGGACGCCGAATGGGATGAGAGAGGGGGGGAGGAGGAGTGAGTGGACGCGGGACGTTGTTCTTCAAAACGAGAGCCCAACACCACAGGATGGTTAGGAAAAAACAAACACGAATCATCGTCGACCCTTTGGAAAACAAAAAACATGGGAAGTGGAAGGGACGACGAAAGGCGAGAAAATACGATAAGTAATTGGGGATCCTGGGATTTGTGTATTTTTGTTTGTGTCCGAGGACCCCATTCACACTGTCCTGCGGCAGCCAGCAGTCCTCGTTGTGAGCAGGTATCCATCAGCGTGGCGCCAAGACGACGACGAGTCCTCCCTTGCTCTCGGCTCCGACGGAAGGGCCGGGTTGCGGTAGGCTCGTGTCGTGCCGACGCGGCGGCGACCCCGGTCGCTGGCGTTCAGGGGCCTGGCATCGCTTGGACGTGTGCATTTTTTTCTCGGCGAGAACCATCGAGGACCATCCTCGACCAACGAGCAAAACAAAAACGTCCGAGCGACGGCGAGGGGGCTGAGCGCCGCCAGCGGCCCAGAATCGACCGCCAGCGGCCCAGAGCCGGCCCCGATCGCTCGGGGTCGAAGGATCCACGCGGCTTCGCAGAGAGAAGATATTGCTGCAGGGGCTCCGCTGACGTTTTGGGAGGCGCAGCCGGCTACGCAAGCTGCTTCGCGGACCCCCACTGTGCTACCCCTCCCCCTGTTTCCTTCGACCAGATCCTCCCGCCTCGTCCTGCTCTTTCCGCTTCCGTATTCCTCCTTCCGTCCGCATCATGTTTTCCCTCGTCGTCCCCTCCTCTTCCTCTTCCTCCTCCTGCGCCCTCGCACGACGTCGACAGCGACAACGGCGATGATCCAGACTCCAGAGCTCCAACGTCTCAGAAAAAGATTCGGGGTCGGAGAGTTTCGTCCTTTCGGATCCTCCGGAAGGCTTCTCGTTACCACGGCTTGATTCCCTGTCCAGAGCGTACCCCGGAACAGGTCCGGGGCTCGATTTCTTGACCGGGATTTCCAACGCCTTGAACAAAAATGAAGCTCAGGGACATCGATAGGGGGGCGGCATGGGGGGGGGATGCATCGACATGCAATCGCCGATTGATCGCCGATGGGGGCCCGATAGCCCCAACCTGCCCAGAAAGGTGCGGATTCACTAGCAGGGGCACATCGCCGAGCTATCGGCGATGTATCGCCGATCCCAGGCCGATGCAGCACCCCCTATGCTTAAGTCGGGCCTGTCCCTCTACCGGGGTTATTATCGAAAATTCGTAAAAACATAGTCTGGGGACTATGTTTCGAGTATTTGTGTACCACTTTGGAGTATTTTTTGAATATGTTTTATTTGTTGTTCTATGCCTAACCCGATGCAAGTCCCCCCCTAAGCCAGTCCCCCCCTATCGTTGCCCGTCGGAGACGCGGATTCCTCGTCGCGGCCGGCCGCTGGGGCCCAAGGCAAAAGCAGGGTATCGGAGGGGGAGGGAGGGAGGAGGAGGAGGAGGACGAGGACGAGGAGGAGGAGGAGGACGAGGAGGACGAGGAGGACGAAGGCATGAACGATTCTTGCCCCGGTGCCGCTGCCGCTGCCGCTGCCGCTGCCGCTACCGCTGCCGCTGCCGCTGCCGCTGCCGCTGCCGCTGCCGCTGCCGCTGCCGCTGCCGCTGCCGCTGCCGCTGCCGCTGCCGCTGCCGGTGCTGGTGCCGGTGCCGGTGCGGGTGCGGGTGCCGGTGCCGGTGCCGGTGCCGGTGCCGGTGCCAGCACGTGCCGGTGCTGGTGCCGGTGCCGGTGCCGGTGCCGGTGCCGGTGCCGCGGGTGCCGGTGCCGGTGCCGGTGCCGGTGCTGGTGGCCGGTGCCGGTGGCCCGTAGCCGGTGCTGGTGCCAGTGCCGGTGCCGGTGCCGGTGCCGGTGCTGGTGCCGGTGGCCGGTGCTGGTGCGGGTTCTTGTTTTCCCAGAACATCCTCTCCTTTTCCCTCCCGCGTCCCGCCTCCCAGCATTGCCACTGCCGCCCCTCCAGGGAAGCCCCGCCTGAGCGAGGAGGGTAACGGAAACCCATACTATTTACATGGTTTCGTGCCCTTCCCACCTCTCCAGGGAGGCCCCGCCTGAGCGAGGAGGGTATCCCCCCCCTCCAGCAGGGAGGCCCCGCCTGACTGAGCGAGGACAGTATCGGAAACCCATACTATTTACATGGTTTCGTGCCCCTCCCTCCCCTCCAGGGAGGCCCCGCCTGAGCGAGGAGGGAATCGGGAACCCGTACTATTTACATGGTTTCGTGCCCTTCCCACCTCTCCATGGAGGCCCTGCCTGAGCGAGGAGGGTATCGGAAATGGGTTTCGTGCTCCTCCCACCCCTCCAGGCAGGCCCCGCCTGAGCGAGGAGGGTATCGGAAACCCATACTATTTACATGGTTTCGTGCCCTTTCCATCCGCCTGAGCGAGGAGGGTATCGGAAACCCATACTATTTACATGGTTTCGTGCCCTTCCCACCTCTCCAAGGACGCCCCGCCCCGATAATGGTGATGGACGATGACGATGGCTGAGGATAATGACGATGACGATGGCGATAATGGTGATGACGATGACGATGGCGATAACGGTGATTATGATGATGATGCTGATGATGATGACGATGATGATGATGACGATGACGATGATGACAACGATGGCGACGACGACGAAGATGATGATGCAGATGCTGGTGATGATGACGATGCTGCTGCTGATGCTGACGTTGCTGGTGTTGTTGATGATGATGACGACGATGATGATGATCATGACGTCCACGATGATGCGAACGATGATGATGCCAAGGACGGTAATGGTGATGATGATGATGATGATGCTGATGATGATGATGATGATGCTGATGACGATGATGGCGACGACGACGATGATGATGACGATGACGCTGGCGATGATGATGATGATGATGATGATGAGGATGATGATGATGGTTATGATGATGCCGATGATGCTGACGATGAGGATGATGATGTTGATGATGTTGATACTGATGATGATGATGATGACGATGATGCTGATGATGACGACGACGACGGGGTGACGACGATGCTGCTGATGATGCTGATGATGACGACGATGATGCTGGTGATGATGATGATGATGATGATGATGATGATGATGATGATGATGATGATGATGATGATGATGATGATGATGATGATGATGCCGAGGATGAGGAGGACGAGGAGGAGCAGGACGACGAGGAGGAGGAGGAGGAGGAGGACTCGCTTGAACGAGGAGGGT